CCCTTCATGTCCACCCTCTCCAACGACTCTAACACCCATTTTGCCTCCCTGAGAAACTCAGCATCGCAATTCTTCAAACCAAAAGAGAGTCCAATAAAGAAAATGTTTGTTGTGGAACCAAAACTGCATTATTCCTTTGGTTTGATGATTAATACTAATAACTAACTTTAGAGAAATTACCTGGTATATGTGCTTTCGCAAAATAAAACAAAAAAAATCATGTTAAATTATGGGGTTTTTTTTCAGGGATCTCCAAAAGGGGTGCAACCAAACTTGGAATCTTTTCAGGCCTGATGAATGCAGAATTCTGTGTTAAAATTTTGAAAGACTTCCTTCTTCCATTCCTAAGTGAAACTCTCCCTGAAGGTCATCGCTTTTTTCAAGACAACACCAAAACCCACACAAGCCACTTGACCAAAGAATATTTTTGGAAGAAAATGGTGTCAACTGGACGAAGACCCCCCTGAAAGCCCCAACTTTAACCCCACTGAACTGCTCTGGGCTGAGATGAAGCATCACCTGAGGAAACACCAAACACAAAAGAAAAGAAGAGTTGGCTGCAGGTCTAAGAGACTTTTGGAGAACTGTGGACAACGAGAAATGTAAGAAATACCTTGGCCACCTGAGGAAAGTCATGCCAGTGGTGATTGAACGGTAAGGACTATGAGTTACAGGGGCGGATCCAGAGCTATATACTGACAGTCTTCCAAATTATCTTTGTTGATTCATCCTCCAATTTTGACCGTCTTCCAACATTAAAAATTGGATACCCGTCAATGTAAACTTGAAAATCTGACCGTCTTCTGGAAGACCCAGAAGACGGCCTAAATCCGCCCCTGAGTTATTTATACACAAATAGGTTATACAAAATTGAAATTAAAGGTTTCACGCCAGACCGTCAGAATGGCTTGAACAGATCACATTCTTCAGAAAACATGTCCTGCTAATGATACGTATCTTTATGCAAAATACACAAATTAAAAGCTCATTTTGTAAAAATTGGGCTTTAAAAAATGTCCTTTTTGCTCAGTCGGGGAGTTAATGAGCTATGTGGTCAAGTTGTCTGATGATAACATAAGGCCACCAGAGTAGAGAGCCAAGCAGGTTAAAGAATTGAATAAACAGGAAAATGGCTTCACACGGCTTAAAGAGGTTTTAGATTCCTCGGGTAAGAGATTTGAATGTGTATGTACTGTTATCAGGAGTTTGAAAAGTCATCTCACAGGTAGACAATGAAGCTCAGTTGAAGTGGTAGACATTTATCTCTCTTTACTATTCAAAAATATATTCCAGGTGTTTGTGTTGTTCATGTCATCCAATGTCTAATGGACTAGAATGCATATGTTGTCATGTGCTGAGCCCCATAGAAGATATAATGATAAATATGAACAAGCACTGTTTTTCATTATTCTAAGTATATATTATAAGTGCATTTCCTTTTGTACTAAAAAAAATTAAATGTAAAAAAAATAAATAATAAAAAATAAATAAATAAACAAATATTAAATTACAATTACCACACAGTCTGTTTTGTGGCTGTGGCATTTTTATCTTCATACATTCCTCACTAAAATATTCTTTCAAACATTTGTTCCAGGTTATATCATTTCATAGCTTATCGCTCCTTTACAAGGTGGATATCCACCGTAATTTAGGAAGGAAGAAGAGAATGGTTATTCCCTCCTGTAATTTATTTAACATAAGAGAGAGATTTCAATCCCAGGAGTACAGAGGTTTTAAGGATGCAAGACCATGATAACTCAGACGTCTTTCTGGGGACCAGTTCATGACCGACTCTACTCATGGGCCACAGCTTTTTAAAGTGATTCCATCCCTACCAAACAATTTTAGTGTTGATGGCCTCACGACTAACTTTTATTGCTCAGGGGGAGCAACGCTCACTAGTTTCTTGTATGATCCCAATTTTTGGCCTCTTCTAAACATAATTGGAAATCAATGTCTTTCTGGTTATGCAAGTCTCATTGTTTCTAATTACAGCAGGATGCCGAAAGACAGTGGATGAAAGGACAGTAATGCTAGAGGATGTCCTAGCATTCATCACGGGCTCAAGGACAATTCCTCTGCTAGGTTTCACCTTGGCTCCTCGAATAGAATTTTCAGCACAAATAATGCCAACAAGCAGAACGTGCATAAATGTTCTGTATCTCCCTCTTGATTACCTTCAAATGGAAGTCTTAAATGAAGCATTTGATGAATCTTTTATGAGTAATTATTTTGGAATTTCTTAATTAGAATTTGACAGACAACTCATTACTATTTAGGCAGCAAACTTAGATATAGTTTTTTGTCAGCTGGGAGAAAATGACATCAGCCCAGCAGTGACCTCACCAGCTTCCATTGTTTCTGCCGTCCCTCGTACGACCCACACTATCATTGATTACAATCCCAATATTCAGATAACAATTTGTGCTTTCATTTTCAGGGATCAACACAGCGTGTAAATACTTATATTGTACTGACATGGCTATCACTTGTTTCTATTAAATTATTTATGTGTACCAAAAACTTGTTTCCTCAGTTCATAGTTATTATTTCGCAATTCGTTGATCCTGGAATCTTGAATCTTCCGGCCCTTCTCCTTTATCTTCTATGTCGTCACAGTATCACATGACCCAGATCTGTTGCTTCATTTTTGCATATTGAGGTGAGGTTTACTAAAATGATTTTTTTCTACTAGTAGATAGCTTTTATACTTTTTAAAAGGTGGGTGTTGATGCAAACATATCTATAGTGTATAGACTGATTGCCGAATTTACAAAATTTGAGAAATGGATTTAAACATGGCCAGAATCCTTTAATGATATCTGCCATTTAATAAATTCAATTCCTGCTCAATTCATGCTAATTAAAATATGTGTTGTTGTTAGTAGGGTTACAAGAAATTAATGTTAAATAGTTTAATAAAATAAAATCAATCAATGATCTGTTAAAGCTAATTAAAATACAGGTAGAGATTCCACTATAATTGATAACCTGCACCTCATTGGAGGCATATTTGAAATACCAGGCAAAGTAGCCTCCAATGTTATGTCAGATTTCCCAACATCTGCCAAGCTTATGAATTTGGCTAGCAGAAACGGCACAAGAGCATGTCCAAGTAAATAGTTCATACAAGTAACAGACTGTTCTTTCCAAAGGACCATCTGCTCATGCAAGACTGCTCCAATTTCGTACAAAAAATCATGAAAACAACCTAGCGCTTGGGACGAGCAGGTATATTTGAGAAAAGAATGACAGAAAGTCAAATATCAGCCAGAATAAGAATTTTAACAAAAGCAAAGTGGTCTAAAGGTCTAGAAGAGACACTGTTCTACTAATTATTATTATACTGTCTGTTTACACTGTGTGGCTAAAAGACAAACTGAAGGTGCTTTATAAATAGAAGATCTCCAAGTCCATTGTAATATCTGGGGCATGGAGAACATCCAACTTAACATACCTTCAGAATTGATGGACTGACTCAGCATTTGACACTCGCACTCGCCAGCTCGCCAATGCGAGTTAAAATTAAATCTGGCGAGTGAAAATTATGGTGCAAGTCGCCATTTTGGCGATTTATGTCAACTTACTGTATTAAGTTTATCAGCAAAATTTAGACTCAATTTAAGTCCGACTCGTATGCCAAAATTTACAGGGAAGTTCATGGGATTACCCTTACTGCTAACCTCGTTTTTACTCTCATAATCGTGATTGGTTGAAGTTGGGGAATTCCGTAATGACGTATTCACAGTCTCGCTGTCGTTTTTGAAAGCATCTAGCCTTCGTTTGCGCGCCGGATTTTGACGAAGTATAGGAAATGCTGTCTGTTTCGTTTCACTTACGTCTTGCGATTTTGTGCAGTTGACGCTTCCGGGAGAAAATGTGATGCACGTGGATCATCAAACTGCAAGTTTTTAAAAATTTCAAAACGCCAAGTAGAAGAGACTGAGAGTGAGAGCATCGCAGAATCGGCTTCAACTTCAAGTGGTAAGTAAACAAAATCAAAGCAGAAACAAACTAATAGTCTGAGCTCTTTGACCCAACGCATGTTTTTGACGTTTTCTGATTTTTTTTTCCTGAGCGGAACAAAAAAAGAAAAAAGGGGGGGAGGGGGTTAAATGCGTGCGACGTGCAACGTGTGTAGGGTAAGAGAACTAATTACCTAGCGTACGCTTTTACAGTACAGTGCAATACTATACAAATAATACAAAATAATGAATTTTATTTCAACTCGGATACAATTGAATCTTTTAACAATCTCGTTAGGTTTTCAGCAGTTCACCGACTGCCTCTCCGTCAGAGCGACTTACGGAGTTCACCCTGAATATCACAAGTTCTCTAATAATGATAGTGCTTAATTTAACCTCATTTTAATATTTATTTTGAAACGA